AGAAGGAGAGAGACAGAGAGGTAAAGAGAGAACTCACCCTCTAGGGGGTATGGCCCCGCAATCCCTTCTCTCTGGATTTTGGGTGCACACACACATGCCTGGGGTGGTTTTTAAGCCACTGGGTCTGGGACTCAAATCATGGTTAGCCAGATGGGAGTGCACTGCCTTAACCACCATGCCACCTGCTGGCCTCTGTGGCTGTGATTGAAACAGGTTCTGTCTCTGTCTCTCTCTCTCGAGCTGCCTCTGGCGCCCTTCCTCTAGGAAGCAGCTCTGCAGCTGTACCAGGCCTTGGCCAGGTCCTCCTGGTCACGTAGGCCCTGCCTTGTATCCAGCTGCTCCAAGTCCGCACCAGGGGAGGCTGGAGAAACACCTGCATGGACGATGCAAAGGCAGGACCAGCAGGTGGAGTGGGGGTGATGGCGCTGGATCCCACATGTACAACTACACGCTTCGAGTCCCAGACTCAGTGGCTTGATACACGCGCCAGGCACGTCTGTGCACGCATGTGCCAGAGTCTGGAGAGAAGGGAGAAGGGACTGCGGTGTGGCCGTCCCCCAGGGGTGACTTCCTCCTTTCACTCTCACTGTCTGTCCCTCTCTCCAGCAAGCACACATGCCCAAAGGCAGAGCCTCTAAAACACCTGGAGCGCTCCACAGGTCCCTGGCCCCGCCCCGCTCGCTCTGTCCGGTCCTGCATCACTCGCACGGTCAGCTCGTGCTCACGACCCTGGCTTCTCCTTGTCATTCTGTAGTTTCTTTGGAACTGGTTTGTTCTTGAGTAAGAGGGAGACAGAGAAGGAGGGGACAGAGAGATTCTTAAGCATTTTGCTAAATGGCAATGTGCATTCGAGAGTCAGAGGGGAAGTGAGAGTCACCCCCATGGGGGACGGCCACGCCTCCGTCCCTTTCCCTCCCCCATTCTCCTCTCGGGATTTCGGGTTGCTGGGTCTCGGACTTGAACCGGCCAGCCAGCCCGTAGCATTCAGTTGCCTTAACTACCACGTCACCAGCTGGCTTAAGACAGTTCTTTTCTTTTTTTAGAGGTTTCAGTCTTAGGGTGTGTGTGCTCACTGGAGAGAAACAGTGAGAGGGAAAGTGAGAAGTCATCTCCAGGGTGGATGGCCATGCCGCAGACCCTGTTCCTCCATTCTCCTCCCAGAATCTTAGGCACACACACAAGTGAGTTTCAAGTCACTGGGTCTGGGACTTGAACCATGGTCAGCCATGTGGGAGTCCAGCGATGTAACCACCAAGCCATCTGCTGGCCCCCAGACAGGTATGTTTGACTAGGTTTTGCAAACTGCAATCCTCTGCCCCCAGCCTATTGGTGCATTGGGACTGGGTGCTGGCTATAGCATCTGGCCTGTTCAGATTGGTGGGGAGCTGGGTCCAGGCCTCTCTGCAGCGCCTGCCTGTCCACCACAGTGGGCATAACTCTTGGTCCAGGCCTCTCTGCAGTGCCCGCCTCAGCCGGCAGTGCCCGCCTCGGATGGCAGTGTCCACCTGTCCACCACAGTGGACATAACTCTGACCTATTGTTTTTCTCCAGCTAATTTGGTTTTTGTTTTCCCTAGACTGTCCTGAACTCATCGGACACTTGGCTTATTAACTTTCCCCTTTCTCCTCATAAACTCTTCCCCTGCGAGGGCACATGTACTTACAAAAGCCAGAAAGAGGGAGAAGAGAAAGGGGCACGGGCCTGCGTCGTCCTTTCTCCTCCATCTCTCCCTCTTGTGGGGAGCCCAGCCACACGTGCACACTGTCTGGTGTGCTCTTAAGCCACTGGGCCTGGGACCTGCACTGCACAGCTGGCCCTGTGGGATCTAGCTGCCTTAACAGCCACGCCACAGGCTGGGCCCTTTATATAGTATTTAAGGCTTTAAATTATGGTGTATGTATATATAGTTTTTTCTTTTTTTGAAGAGGTTTTTGCTATAGGGCACGTGCGCTCGCCAGACAGAGAGAGAAAGTGAGAAATCACCCCCCAGGGGGGGTGGTCACGCCGCAATCCCTTCTCCTCCATTCTCCTCTCGGGATCTTGGGCACGCACGCACACGCGCCCAGCGTGCGTTTAAGCCGCCGGACCTGGGACTCGAATGGTGGTCGACTACATGGGAGTCCAGTGACATAGCCATTATGCTAACTGCTGGTCCTGTATGTATATTTTTAAGAAATTTCTATTTCTTCCAGGAGTGAGAGAGGGAGAGCATTTCCTCCAGGGCCCGGAGCTGTGCCCCGGCCGGCCTGGACCACGGGCTCACCATGCTCGGCTCACTCAGGGAGCTGAGTGCCAGCGAGGAGCCGCCCACAGGGGTCAGCCTTGCCAAGGGTCGCGCTTCACTGAGGTGCCACCGCTGGGCCATGTGTAAGGCCTGATACCTTTTCTGTGGGACACCCACAGACCGACGTGCCGCAGTGACCCGGCCGGCCCGTGCGGAACACTCTGGAGTCTCTCTTCTCTGAGCCACGAGTCACTTGACCATTCCTGTCTTGCTGCTTAGCCGTGTGCGTGGGCCCACAGGAGGCCTTCGACGGTACTGACCTGGCTTTTGTTTTTTTTTTAGAAAACTGTAAAACTTTATTGAGAGAATGTCAGCAGTCACATTTCTGGAATAAGGACAACAGCTTGGCTCCATTCTGGCTTGGCTTCATGTAAACTGATGGCCGTCCTGAACCTGCGTCTGGCATTTTAATGGGTTTCACCCAGGCTTGACAGCCCTCCTCCTTGACCTCGGAACCACCTCCGGGCTCGTGCACTGTGTGTGGCAGTCAGTCCTTCAGCACCCATGTGGACCCTCCAGCTGCGATGTGCCTCCCCCCCTTCAGTCTCCAGAGCCTCACCGGCCTCTGCTGGGGCTCCTCACTGAGCTGCTGCACCCTGCGAAGTCTCCCCCATCTCCTTTAGCCCGACCACCCCCTCTCCCTGTAGACTTGGACCCTGACCTTCCCTGCCCAGGTGGATTTCACATCTCTCGGTGGCAGCAGAGAGAACTTGTCACCCCTTGGTGTGCTTGGCAGGAGAGCGAAGGCCCTCTCCCTCCTCCACCTGTTTTCCTGGGCAGCAGGTGGCAGAGGTCCCGCCTGGAGCCCCGCAGACACTCCACTCCACCAGGCTGGGAAGTCCTGTACGACCAACCCCCGAGGCCAGGAGGGGCCTGCCAGGAACCTGCCTTAGGGCAGGGAGCAGCGCCACCTGGAGGACACAGTCCATGCAGATAAACACCCGATGGTACTAACTGGCCCCAGGGACCCTCATGGCGTGACCGGGTGGCCGCGGAGCACCCCGCCAGGCACGCCTATGACTTAACAGGTGCCCTGGCATGTACAGGCACTGGGCACAGCAGGGCTCGTACACCCTCGCCTCACTCTGCAGGGACAGACCGCGGCCCTCCCACTCGCCACGAGCCCCAGGCTGTGGCCAGCCTTCCTGCTAACAGCACTGCGGGGAGGAGCTGACGCAGGTGCCATCCCGTGTCTCGTCTGGTCACCCCAGGGCACAGACTCGCGGGTGACGGGCGTGAGCCTTCCAACTGTGGCTGTACAGTGGCTGCACAGCTCACGCAGCCTGGCACTCCGCGTTCCTCTGGTAGCCCGGGCACCGGCACAGCGGCACTTTGCAAGGAGAGCCCACGGAGCTGGGGCTGGCCAGGCTGCGGAGGGGCCTGCATGGCTAATGAGCCCACGGCCCTCCCGACGCCCAGAGCACAAGAGCGGACACTGTGCTGCCAGTGCTGCGGGGGGGGGCAAGCCCCGCTGTGCGGGGGGGGGCTGGGGCTCTGCGGGGGGGGGCAGGCCCTGCTGTGCGGGGAGGGGCTGGGCGTGCGACAGGGGCTTACGTGTATCTTGCCCTTGACGAAGGTGGTGACGTCCTCCTCGCTGTCGAAGACCGAAAGTGTCTGCAGCAAGTTGTTCTCCAGCCACTCCCAGTGCTCCGTGATCTCTCTGCGGGAAGAGCCTGGAGGGGCGGGCGACGTAAGAGCGGTCAGAACGGCCAGGCCTCGGGCACGAACTCAGGCGTTCAGGCAGGAAACCTGGGCCCAGGGGGTGGCTGCCAGTCACGTCTGGACACCCACACAGTCGGCCGCAGTTTGAATCCTGGACCCAGCAGCTGAAAATTCACGCCGGGGGCATGTGCATGTGCGCCCAAAATCCCAAGAGGAGAATGCACGAGAAGGGGCTGCGGCCTGGCCATCCCCTCAGGGTGATTTCTCGCTTTCTGCCTGTCTCTGTCTCTCTGGCAAGTGCATGTGCCCTATAGCAAAAATCTCTCTTTTTTTTTTTTTTTTTTTAAAAAAAGGGAAACCATTCTCTGAGATCCAAGGGGCTAGACATTCGGCTGCTTCCTTAAGCTTCGTGGACGTGTCTGATCAGGAGTGGCACGTGGGCCTGGAGCAAGCCAGACCAAGCAGGAGCAAGCCTGGAGTAAGCAGAGCTGCGGTCCAGGGGGAGGTCGGCCTCCCGACCCAACGCTGAGCGACAGCCCATGCACCCCTCTGCGAGGCGGGGGGCTAGTGCAGTCTTCCATGTACACGTGCTAACCAGACTCAGCCAGGCTCTACGAGGGCTCGAGTGCTTTCCAGAGAGTTCGAGTGCTGATGCTGCAGACCCGGTGGCGAGGAAGAGCG